AGAGAGAGAGAGAGAGAGAGAGAGAGAGAGAGAGAGAGGAGAGAGAGAGATAGAGAGGGGAGAGAGAGAGAGGAGAGAGAGAGAGAGAGAGGGAGAGAGAGAGAGAGAGGAGAGAGAGAGAGAGAGGAGCGAGAGAGAGAGAGAGAGAGAGAGAGAGAGAGGAGAGAGAGAGAGGAGAAGAGAGGAGAAGAGAGAGAGAGAGAGAGAGGAGAGAGGAGAGAGAGGAGAGAGAGAGAACTATAACTTTGTTTTCAAGTTTCAACCAGCAGAAGTTGAACCTTCAATCACCCCATCCCGTTGGACGCATGAAACTGCAGCTCTAAGCCTGTCCCGTTCGTTGTTGAAGGTCTCCGGGGCTGGATATCCCTCACGACTTTGCAGCCTCCCCATGTGACAGCGCTGCTCAGATCTGCAGCGGTGGCCATTGGTTTGGCCCGATCGGTGACGGGGAAATTTCCTGTTGGCGGTCGGTGAGATAACACGCCCAGCCACTGCGCCACGCGGTGACACTACGAGAGGCAGAGAGCGGCCCCCGGAGTCCGGGTGGCGGTAGGTACTGTGTACAGACAACAGGGAGAGGGGAGGGGTCTAACAGATAAAACCGCTGCCTTTGAGACTCACACCGCCGTGTATAGCGGACCGCAGTGGAACACCAACGCAATACACAACCGACCGGTCTCGTGCAAAACATTCAATCAAACACAACTACCTTGTTTAGTCCCGGTTGCATTTAGCAAGAAGCCAGTTGTGAATTGGGATCCTGCATTACGCATAGTTAGTAGGATATGACTTGTAATTAGTAGATCTACTCAAATATTAAACTAGTGAGGTGTCGAATCGATTCGACAGCATGCAACATCTCCTTGTCGCAACTCGTATCTTCTTCGACATATCCCCCTCCCATCCCTCTCTCTCTCTCTCTCTCTCTCTCTCTCTCTCTCTCTCTCTCTCTCTCTCTCTCTCTCTCTCTCTCTCTCTCTCTCTCTCTCTCTCTCTCTCTTCTATTTTTAATGTCGTAAGGCGTACAGGAAATTGGCAATGAAATGTACGAACTGTATCGGGTGTGGCGCTGAACTCGGTACTCTCAGACAAGGTGGAACCTGCTGAACTAGATGGACAGCTCGCATTGAGTCAAGCCACGCCGTCTCTAAAACCATTCCGACCTATACGGCTCAGCCGGAAATAAGCTCTACCGTTTAGTAAACGACGGAGGCCCCGTTTTACCGATCTCCCTATAGGTAACCGACCGACAAGCTGTCCCCTCCCCAGCTGTCGGCTCCAGCCTCCAGTCGTGTGTCTCCAAGAAACTGAAACTACCAACATACGTCAAGGGTGTCCCTTCTTATTTGAGCAGGCACCTACCACCGACCTAGTAAATATACGTACCTATAATAATGAGTCTGTCGTTCATATGGAAATTATTAATGGACACTGCTGTCTTACGCAGGTAAACGGTTTCAGCGTGTGTTGCATGGACACTGAAAGTTGAAACTAAGAGGATTAAGGCTTTCCATTTTGGGGTGCCTAACATACAAAGATATAAGTTTGTAAGTTGTAACCTACAAAACCTCAGTTCAGGTGCGCGGGAAACAGTTTGCTACCAGCCACCAGTATTACCTTACCTGACCGGCCAGCTGGCAGCAAGTGTTGACATTTTGTATAACAGCCGCCTGACGACTTACGCCTGTGCACAACGCAGATTACATACAATACATGGTGCATGCATGAGCCGAACAGACACAGAGTCACACTACAGCTGGGAACTGGGAATTCCGTCTACCGCCTATATTGGGGTTGCTGCATTCATTTTGCATTTTTCTAAGGCATTTCGCGAAACTTAGTCTACCTGCACGTATTGTGCATACGTGCGAAAGAGTCACAAACTCAAAACATTTAGGTATCTACTTCTAAATCTGCTTACTACTTACGACTACCTAGACCTATATATAAATTTATTGAAAAGTTTTATATCGGTGCTGTAAAGTGGCGTGAAAGTCGATCATCACGCTACGGACGCATCAGCAAGTGGTTTTATTCCAGCAATTTTGGCCACCAAAGCCGGTACAGCGGACTGCAGACAGTCCGTTTTACAATTTGACATGGCTACGGGCTCGGGGATATTTCCCCATCCTCATTCCAGGCCTGTTCTCCCTACATTTCCCCGACAGCGTAACCGCGCCTACGCGCGCGCGCGCGCAATCGGAAATATCTCAGCACACGGTGGTTTCCTTCCTCGACGGTACTTGGCCGGTCCAGTAAAAGTCGAATCGATATTTAGATTTAGATTATGACCTGGAATCCACAAGTGACCAATTTACCGGGCACTCAATCAAATTTCTCAAAGATCAGCTCATTGATAAAGTTGTCCGCGCAGTCTAGCCCGATTCATCCAGGTTGATGTCGCAAAATTATGAAATCGGTCCAATTAACTTCCACGTCCTTTTTGCTGGCACTCTATTGACGAAACAGCATTGCTCGTCATGAAGGGGCATCTGAGCATGATACAGGCGAAATGGATGCAAAAAATAAAAATGTGCATGTGTTGGACGGACAATGATTAGGTACTCAGTACTCACGCAACCATTCGCAATAAAAAGGTAATCACATATTTACGCTCACCGTCCATTCCCTGTTATACAAGCGAGAAAGCTTATTGTAAAACAAGTAAATACCGTCGTCATTAGTCGCTACCGTTTCGCAAAGCAAACACCATCGGCCGGTGAAATGGAGGAAGTTTTCACTTCGGTATGTGTTGCGCGCCGGTCCAACTCTGATGGTGATTGCAGTTGCGCCCGATCGGCTCGCTGCAGACACGCCGGACCTACCACCCCAGGAAAGTCGCACGGCGTGGGAGACAGCCGGCCGGAGAAAAATGCACAGACACCGGGTTGTAGGTCCTGCAGGGCGGGGCGCGGACAGAGACAGTGGCCAGCGCCCCAGTCGTGAGCTACCGGCCCCAGGATGTGGACGTGCAAGGTGAGTAGGTCAAACGGTTCACCGGTGCCAAATGTTTGATGACTATTGTTTTGGCCTTTCAAAACATTCTTCTAATCATTCAGCGAACAACATTCTTCGATGTCCTAGTTACTGTTATAATGAACAAAGTGCTTCCACAAGGTTTATTATTTTATCGTAAATTTCAGGACGAAGATGCGGCATGCACTTAGGCTTACGGTCAAATTAATGCTTTGCTTTTACCTTGAACAGTGAGCACTTAAAGTCTGTATTTTACATAAAAATTGAAGGCGTAACGTGATCCACGATGAGCATTGTGAGAATTTGCAACCAAAAACCACACTGAAAACAATTTAACCCAAGGCTGGCGAGTAAACCGGTGTTTTACGGGTACCCCTATCCGCAACCATTTTTAACCACCCTCCCAGGAGTAGTGCTAGGTCCCATTGCGGTGTAGTCGTACTTGCTCTGAGCGGATATAACCGCTGTCAGCGAACAAGTCCGCTGAGAGCAGGGACGACTACACTGCAATGGGGCCTTACTGTACTCCTGGGAGGGTGGTTAAAAATGGTTGCAAATAGGGGTACCCGCAAAACACCGGTTTACTCGCGGGCCTTGGGTTAAATTGTTTTCAGTGCACCAAAAGGTCACACAGAAACGGCATGTTTTCCGGGTGAGCTCTCCACCGACCTCAGTGGCGCCTCGTCTCGTTTCAGCTGGCGCTTCTGACGCTGCTCGCCTCGCTGGCGCCGCTCGTGGCGCCGGCACCAGCACGGACCTCCGCTGGCGCATCGAAGCGCGCCATCCCGCTCAGCCAGTTCGGCCCATTTGACCCATACGCCGCTCAGCTGTACGGCCAGCGAGCGTACCAGTACCCGTACACCAGTGCGGTAAACAACGGAGTGTACGGCAATGGTTATTATCCCGGTGCCGGAAACTACTACGATCCGACAGAGTACAACTATGCTCCAATAAACGACCGGGCCGACACACAGCCTGTGAAATATCATGACCGGCTGAAGACGGCTTCAAACAACGGCAAGTACGATCAGAAGTACGACGACGGGCACTATGACGCGAAACTCTACAACTCGGGAAAGCACAATCCCAGAAACTACGACTCTGGACTGTACGACCATGCCAAGTACGGTACTAAGCCCGTCCATAACACAAAGAAGACGCATAAGAAGTTCCCAAAGCATCGAGGCGCTGAGAGTATTGGCGCTGGGAGCCGGAAAATCGGCAAGAAACCAGCTGCAGTGGGATTCTTTATCCGCAGCGACGGTAGCGGAGGATACAACTGGGGTCAATACGGGCAGTTCGGACGGTTGAGCACGAGGAGCGCTCCGCGACCTACTGTGGCTCCATTTGTTTACGAGGTAGCGAAACCTCATTTGGAAAAGCCGGCCATCCGTAAGAAGGATGTGGTGCACAAAACGAAGGATGTTGTAAAGGGAAGACCGGAGAAGGATTTGAGCTTTAACACAAAGGAGGTGTTCTCTAAAATTGATGTGTTTGGCCCGAATCACCGGAAGCTGTTCACCGGAGGCAAACGTGTTTTCGACAATGATCCGAATCAGGATTTCGGCATCAGTCGCATTGAACTGAACAACGACGAGCGGGCTACTGCAAGCGGGCCGTCCGGGAACGATTTTGACAGCTACGGATTCTACTCTGATCTGTCAAACTTATACTCGGAGAAACCATTTGATGGTGAGCCATCATCCGACAAAACATTCCCTCGGGTACAAGCGACTAACAGTGTGAAGTTCAACACTCGGCAGCCGGCATCCTCCGGGTCCGGGTCACTGTTCGACTCCGCGCCCGTTCGAAACTCCGGAATCTCGGGCAGTTTCGACGGGAAGCCAGCACGGGCTGCTGCTGGGGACAGCGACAGCTATGGCTACTACTCTGACCTGTCCAACCTGTACGGAGACCAGCTCTGGGAGCCGCTGGACGCCTCAGCCGCGCCCGGCGTGACGCAGCAGACGAGGGACTTTGACGCCGGTCTGTCTGAGAATCGGCTGGATTTCGGCAATCAACAGTCGCCAGTGGCGAGTCAGTTGAACAGGGACGTCCCTCAGCAGGGTGTGGAGTTTGACAGCTACGGATACTATTCGAATCTCGACAATCTCTACGGGCCAGATGCACCTCCAGAGGCTCCTCTGAAGAAGAAACTGGTGGTGAAAAAGAAGACTGCGGCTGGATTCGACCGTGGAGCTTCATCCGGGCTCAGAAATTTAAACACTGGCGCTGTGCAAAAAGGAATAACTTTTGACAACAGTCAGAACACATTCAGCTCATCAGGGACTCAACTCCAACCAGACAACACAGTAACCACTGCCGATTTTGACAGCTACGGATTTTATTCAAACCTGGACAACCTTTATCGCACCGACTCCAGACAGAGCGTCCACGTAAAGCCTGACACGAGGAGACAGTCACGGCTTGGTGTCACTTCGACGGGTGGCAGGGCTGACGACAAAGCAGCGGTGGGCCCTACGCGTCAAACACAGACCAACCGGATCAGGAATTTCACGTCAGAGAGGAAGACCGCCGGCAGAGAGCTGGACAGATCCCGCTCACAAAACGAGGTCGAGTTCGATAGCTACGGATTCTATTCCGACCCGCGCAATTTGTACGCGTAAAGCGATAATCGGTGTTGACTGTTGGCTTCATGAATTCGCATGCTATTGCGGGTAGAGCAAGCGCAGTTGTCGAACAAAATACGGTTCGACAACGGTGAGGCTGACGACAATAAAACTGATTTTCGGCGTTGAATTATCAGCTTATGTAAATGATTTGCCTTCCCTCATAACAAAGCATATGTGTCTCAGTTATCGTGCAGTGATTGTGTACGGAGTGAAGAAGGGAAAGCAGCGGTGGTGAGTGTACCTACCAATCGTATGTAATGTGTATGGCTCGATTATCTGTATTAGGAGGGTGAATTAAAATGAAATCGGACTTACTCCACAAGAGTTCGTTGGGTCGGAGCTTTCGAATTGTACCTATTACAATTCTTCGTCAGCGAGAGTCGTATCGGATGTTAAGATCGAATCGAAGGTACAGTGCGGATCGAACAAAATATGGGTCGGACAGGAGGGTCTCTGAGATCTCCACATCATGTCTTTAAATGTATTAGGAGGCTTAATTAGCTGCACCGTTTACCTTCGTGTATGTTTATAAACATTGATGGCAGGTGCATATTTATCCTGCGCATTAAAGCAATTATAAGGCATAACCAAGCGTTTAATTATTAACGCACATTTCGAACAATCGCTGGTTGAGTGACATTATAGTCTCTACTCGGGCATAAGTGTGCTGCTGTGGTTGACCGCAGCGAAGATTGTATGAAATAAACGATGAGTTCGATCGAAAAGGAGTAGTCACAAAGCGTTTCTGAATACGAACAATGCGTTTTCTGATATAAAAATTCATTTTAGGTAAATCCCCAACCTCCGAAGGCATACGACATCGAAGTCCCCGTTTCAAGAAAGCTCTGTTTTCATGACAACTTTACATCATGTAGCCTGTAAATAAACGTTTTCAATAGTCAGGTCGTTTATCCTCATCATCTTGGTCTGCGTCGATTTATATTCCAACACTTTTTCTTTAACAATTCATTAAAGTCGATTATTACATGTAAGGTAAATTTAAACTATTCAGCTCAAGCAGCGTCTATTTTAGCACACTGTCCTGCTTTTCATTGCATAGTCTCCCTTTGCAATCATCTCCTCTCTAATCGACTACTGGACTGAGAACTACGCACGCCCCGGAGTTAGAGTGCTGTATAAATTATTTTCGGTGTATTCAGTTCACCGTGAACCACTTTATCAAAAGTGTTTACCTGTTCACCATCTTTTCTAAACGGCGTGTGTGCCAGTATGCAGCAACTACAATACATTACTGTACAATATGCCGGTCGGCCTTACAATGGCTGGAGACTGCAACGACGCACACAGACCCAGCACCGTAGTGGAGACTGCAATGCTACATGTAAGAGTAGTGTAGCGGGGTTTCGCGTTGCGGGGCTAACCGGGCAGTGTCTTCTGGTAGAGATAGAGAGCAAGAGATTGAGCTCCGTCGGTGCGCTCCTAGAAGCCCTTCACTGTACAGCCCCTCGCGAACCCGTTCCGACTCTAACTCTATCTTTCCGGGGCGATCAATCATCGGAAACACATAGGCCAGGGTTAGGGAATGGGAGATAATGATAAATGATAATCAATTACCCTCGATCATATTGGTATAGAAAATCAACTCTATTTAACAAAAAGTCCCACTCTCAAACAACAGCGCCCTTCCTAGCTGAGGGCTATCTCCCACCGGATATACACAACAATCATACTTCCACTCGTGCATCCCTTCTCACTTCTGTCATACGTCCAGTTATACCTCATAATTATCAGAGTTAGCCGTCTCCGATCCCTCCCTCTTTGCCTAACTTCCCCCGGTGGTGCTAAGGCGTGCGCAAGTCATTATTGAGTCATTGGCCTTAAATTTCATTAACCGTTATCCCTTCATAACCACAATGCTCCGTACATCAGACAAACGCTTCATAATGCTCAGTGCTCACGCTACACGAATAGAATATACGAACCACCACAGATTTCGGCACTCCGCCCTTGAATTACGCGACTTATAGCGGGTCCAAGACCATGCCGAACTACCTACACACAAATAATAAACACACACGCACGCAGGTTGTTGAGCGAACAATGGACTTACAGCATGGGCCGGTAAACCTTTGCAACAACGTACGCAGCCCTTGTCTTACTGCCACTCACGTGTGGACCTACCTTCTGCTGCCAGTGGTCAGTCAGCATCTCTAACACACTCCAGCCCACGGTTCCGGAGCTAGAGCTCGCAGGGCACTCAGTAGCCCGGGCTTTCCGCGGCGGACGTATCTAAAATTTGAAAGCCGGGTTGGGTAACTAAAGTCCGTCCGTGATACTAATGACCGCATCTCGCACCAGCCATAGTTCAGGGTTTCCGGGCCAACCCGGCGACCTAAAAAAAAAGTTAGCTCTCGTCGGCTAACTACAAAGACGACACGCGTCTTCCACGCACGCAGGTCCACTCGGGGACATCCTGCACTCAACACACATCGTCGACTACCAGCACATAGGCGTCCAAAGCCCTATCTATCCGTGGCTGGTAGTTAAGCTGTCGTCACAGACCTATTCGAAAGGACCAGAGCATGGCCGGAGCTACTCGACTGACTGCGGGTGGCCAGCACCGTCTGACTGCGATCACCCGACTCGAATGCTCGGTATCTAATGTTCACCCCCGTCTTGCGGCATTATACGTTCCTTCGCGGGGCATTACTCTTCCGGCGGCATACGATTCCCTCGCTAAGACGCCCGGGGTCCTAACCACCTCCGAAACTATGTCGCTCTTCAAATGACGTCCCGCGCCGACCACTTGAGGGACCGATAGCGGGCCTACCTATCTTTTTGAAACCGGGCTGGGTAACTAAGGTCCATCCGTGATACTGATGACCGCATCTCGCTCCAGTCATAGTTCAGGGCTTCCGGGCCAGCCCGGCAGCCTAAAATCTGCCCAGCCTCCGAGGCTGTTAATCCGAGACGGAACACCGTCATCTCGCGGCGGCCCACCCGCCGATACACATCCCAGGCGACGGCCCACGTGACCTTAATTATCACCCAGGCCTACCCTGGGCCGGAACAATCGGGCCACTGGTCCCGTGTCCCGCTAGCCAGAGGTTAGACAGACTACAGCCCGTCGTCCCCTCCGAGCCAGGACACGAGGCTGACCGGGTAACATTTCTTGAAACCCTCCCCGGCGGTCTGTGCCCGACTCGCCTTCATCCTCACGTTTAATTTCGCGACTTATTGCACGCATCCAGGGCTTACTCAATCGAGGCCTAATATCTAGTGGGGTCTGTCCGAGTTTAGCGTCATTCGGGAAACCCGATTTTTCTATTTGTACAGTCCGCGTCTCTACTCGCGTCTCATCTCCCTCCTAACCCATGGCCGCGTCGGTGGATTCTCCACGCACAGGGGCGTGACGTGCATCATCTATCTCCCCAGTTCCATCCCTTGCAGTGTCCATGTAGAATAAAATTACATATATTTCGTGTGCAACAAGGTCTAGTGTGTTGCTTGTGTGCGGACCGTTGGTAAATTGATTAGTGGAGTGCCAGGAAATCCGCTGGCGAGGGCATTTGGGAGTCAACCGGAGGAGCTCCAGTATCGGTTGGGCTAGGGAGGTCCTGTATGTGTTGTGTATAATCGCTATCGTTTGGACCGTGGGATAATTCGGGGAGGATGGAGTGCCAGGAAATCCACTGGCAAGGGCACTTAGGAGTCAACCGGAGAAGCTCCAGTATCGGTTAGGTCAGGGAGGTCCTGTGTGTATTGTGTGTAATCGCTATTATTTGGACCGTGGGATAATTTGGGGAGGATGGAGTGCCAGGAAATCCACTGGCAAGGGCACTTAGGAGTCAACCGGAGAAGCTCCAGTATCGGCTAGGCTAGGGAGGTCCGGTGTGTGTTGTGTGTAATCGCTATTGTTGGACCGTGGGATAATTTGGGGAGGATGGAGTGCCAGGAAAACCACTGGCAAGGGCACTTAGGAGTCAACCGGAGAAGCTCCAGTATCGGTTAGGCTAGGGAGGTCCTGTGTGTGTTGTGTGTAATCGCTATTGTTTGGACCGTGGGATAATTTGGGGAGGATGGAGTGCCAGGAAATCCACTGGCAAGGGCACTTAGGAGTCAACCGGAGAAGCTCCAGTATCGGTTAGGTCAGGGAGGTCCTGTGTGTATTGTGTGTAATCGCTATTGTTTGGACCGTGGGATAATTTGGGGAGGATGGAGTGCCAGGAAATCCACTGGCAAGGGCACTTAGGAGTCAACCGGAGAAGCTCCAGTATCGGTTAGGCTAGGGAGGTCCTGTGTATGTTGTGTGTAATCGCTATTGTTTGGACCGTGGGATAATTTGGGGAGGATGGAGTGCCAGGAAATCCACTGGCAAGGGCACTTAGGAGTCAACCGGAGAAGCTCCAGTATCGGCTAGGCTAGGGAGGTCCTGTGTGTGTTCTGTGCTCCCCGTATAATCCCTGTGTGCACTGTGTAAAATCAAACAGATAAAGAAAACTGATCGTTGTAAATTGCTCTGGCCAGACACCTTGGAAATGACCTCTTTCCCGACTGTGGGTTGGCATATGGCCTTTTATGCTCCATCCTCCGATCCCTGCCCTTCAGCACTATACTCACACTCGTATTTCAATATTTACAAGTCCCATTTATTTACATACTCCGACGCAACACCTTAAATTCCCTTACACGTCAAATTTAAAAGAAACATTCTGGGCCCAGGCCGCCCATCAACTGAGCCCCACAAGCCGCGCGGTGCGGTACACAGTCGCCCGTCCCTTTCCAGACTCCCCACGGTGTATAATCCCCTCCGTCCGCCTTAATCACCACGGGGCGCCGGACGAGGGTCCACGTCGGCACGCGTCTCGCGCCACGCGCACAGTTACATAGTTTACCGAAATCGAATTGTGAACTTAAGCTACCTAGACTGAAAGTCCCAAGAATAAATTGAACTACCTAAACTGAATGGCCTAAAATATTGCAGACGACACCTAAAAAGGGGAATATAATGTGGCTCACATAGCAGTAACGAGGGGGGGGGGGGGGGGGTTACTTGAAGGATTTTAGGGACTAGGTGCGCACCCGTGTTCACCGCGTGACCTTACTTGAGATGGAGTCGCTGACATGATGGTCGTGTCCGTCCAGGGCCCGGCCCGGCGGCCAGAGCCGCCGCCGGCGCCGTGATGCCAGCCGCTGGTGTCTCGTGGGCTGTCCGCGATGTCAGACGAGATACGTGGGCCGAGAGTGCCACCGGCGCGGGATGCGTCGTCCGAGAGAGCGAGGACCAGAGAGAGCGTTCCAGTTCCGTTTCATCAACT